AATATACTTACAAATCAAAAAAGTCGAAATTATATCGAAAAGTGGCATATATTTAGAGGGTGGAAACACGGGTGTAAAGTTTGTGACGAATGCAATCACCATTCACACCTTAATTAAAAATAGGAATTTTCTTGAATTTATAATTGATAAAGAATAGTATATAAGCTTCGCTGACATAAAGTTTCATACGTATTGTCAGTTGATTGGTTAATTATTACGGGAAATCACGAGTAGACCTACAAAAAATCAGCCAATCGGACGAAAGTTCTCCTATGAGTTTTAACCCGTTCAACCTCATTGGGAGACATTTATATGATTGGTTAATTTTGGTAGATCTACCCGTGATAATTAACCAATCAAAATACATTATTTTATTAATATTATAGTACTAGCTAGTTTTTAACTTCATAACAGTATATTTGGGATTTATTCTGGAAAAGTGATACGATTTTGACGACGGGCCGTCGCTGAAATTTTGATCAATGGTTAATTCACGTGATATTCGCATTCGTCAAATGATTAAAAAGACAAGCATTTCTTATTATGGAACAGCTTGCATACGAGGAACGCGTATCCTAAACGCGTTCGTTTTCTTTGTGAAATATATATAGTGTGACAAACCATCATCACTTACTAAAAAATTTCACCCATGTCTACATCTAAAACGGTATGAAGGTTAATGCAAGTGAACTTTTTTTTGCGATCTTGGCCTTTTACCTTTGTTCATTCCAAAAATACTGTAGATACATGAATATTTCGGACGAAAAGTGTCAGATTGGGATATTGTAAGATTCCTCGATGAATGTACCAATATAGAATCTTATAGACAAAAAATAGAATGCTACTTATCATCTCTCGAGTTGATAGCCAATACTGAGAATGGTCAAAGGCGTAAAAAAGCGCTGGAACTTCAAAAACTCTACAGGGAGGCAAGTATTAGAGTTTTTTTTTACTCGAAAGAATAAGTGGCGTGGTAGGGACCTTCGTGCTCTCTATCATTCAAGTCTTCGTGCCGAGCCACAAAAGCAGTGTTGGGACACAGGTGACCTTCGTGCTTGCCTGATGTTTAAAAGTCCTCGAGTTAAAAGTCTTAGAGCCTACTGACACTGCTAGCCACAGGTGACCTTCGTGCTTGCATGATGGCAAAATGAAAGTTAAATAGTAATAAAAGTTATATGGAATGAAATCATGTTAGTTAAGGATACTACTAATTCCCTAAATTTATCATTTTAGGGTAATCGACCCGACAAAAAAAGAGCGAAGGAATGGGAAAAGATGCATTCGTATTCGCGGATTCATATTCATCGTTCGACTATAAACGGGACAGTGCAAGGGATAACAAATGGTGTATATGGGACTATGAGTGGAGGGGTGTTCGATGTAAAGCTTGCGCCAAAGAGAAGCAATCAGAAAGAGGTAACGATGCGTAGCTTTTTAACTAGAACTATTAATTTGCGTTTGTTGTTAATGAATTACAATCTTAATATTAGGACAATGACGAAGGTTCAAAGCGGACGAAAATCGATCAATATTTCTATGCTCGCGCTGTGACCCCACTCACGCTTTCACAAGAAAAGAGTAAAGTTAATGCGGATTCGCTGGATTGCAGTGATGTGAAAGACTCGCCTTCACAAGAACAAGAACTACCACCAGATGAGATTTGAAAATTTTGTCTTTTTACACTTAATTACTGTTCATTATTCAAAATGCTTTTCTGTATCACAGACTTCAAAAGGTACGATTATGGAGAGGCTCATTAACAGCAAAAGCAGTATTGCAAGATACCGGATCATATTCCTACCAGAACGCAATTTATATGATCCGATAAGGCGCCTGTATGTTAATAAAGAATGGTTGATGATGGAATCGACTTGGGAAAAGGTTACGCTTTTATTTTTTTTTTCCTGGTTTTATTTCACTTGGTTTTATTTCACTTATTGATATGGAAATATATCGATTCTAGATAGAAAAGAAGATAGTAAGTTCACTTCCTCCAATTGCGGAAAACCTGGAATCACTTTTAGAAAAATATAATAAAGCTATCATAGACGCCACAACCGGATACTATGTAGATTTGCAGAAGGTTTGGATTACCATAAGTGAACCGCCATTTGTGGGTCAGCACTCATATTTATTCGCTAGAGACTGGTATCTTCAGTGGATACAACAAATTTACACCACCTTGTAGGTTATATAGAACATATTTCATAATTATTTACTGTGCAATTAAAGACAGACTTATACTATACCTATAATTGGTAGCTTAAAATGTTTCCAGACGTCATTCAACCCCTTAATGATGCTGACGTGTCTGAGTACGCATACAGAAGTTGGATCGTAAATCAACTTTGGGAGGAGATTTTTTTGGACGTAAACAGTATAATCCGGATGAAAACGTAATTATTCCATTTTGATTGTCATTTTTTTTAAAATAAGGTTTATATATTTACGTATATATCGAATTCAACCAGAGGTGAAGTTGAAAATATTGATAGGAAAACCCAATTGGACCTCGCAAGGGATGTAGATAAACGTAAATCGTGTGTAGGTAGCTGGCATCATGACGCCATTTTAACTATGAAAGCCGGGAATAAGGATTTTCAAATAGCATTTGGTGAGGTAATCGGGAACGCGTTTAAACAAGATGACAAAAAGTTGAACGAGGACCGAGAGAAAATACTCAAAGGTGAAAGCGTAACTTTAATTTTTCTATTTTTATTGTAAAAATTTTTAAAAGAACTATTCGATTTATAGCCATGCGGTTAGCCCTTCCAAAACTTTTGAAACTATTGCCCGAAAATGTGCCAGGTATCGAGGAGTTGGAAACTTTCGGATTACTTGTGTATAGTATGTAGTAATTCGGCTTATTAATTTCTTATATAATGTTTATTAATCTCAATATAGTTTTAATAATACAGAAAAGAAGTTCCTTCTTTATTCAATGCATTACGTGGATGGAATTTATTTTGTTAATCAGTACGATGGATTCACAATTCCTGATACACCATTACAGCTGGGGAATATATCTGATATCATTCGCATAATGCTTATGTTTAAGGTATTGAAAGGGTTTTATTCATTATCATTATTGTTTAGTATTAACTCTTTACTATATATTTTCTAGAATCGTGTTATAAAACTCCAACAGCATGTGGAATCTTTGTATAAATCCAAAACCAGTTTTAAACATGGCAGTACTCTGCATGCAAATGATGACGATTCAGATATTCTTGTGTCTATTCATTAATTTTGAATCATTACTTATTGTCTAAATAAAATACTTTAAAATATAGATCGAATATAAAATAATTAGACAAGCTTTGTATTTTTGTGTAATGCAAATTTTTTGATTATAATAAACTAACTCTACGTATTTTAAATAAATAATAAATCTATATAATCTAAAACATGCAATCTGAAATTAATTTACTAAAACAACGAATTTCTGAACTTGAAGCCAAAAAGGCTAAGCTCGAAGCCTAGAATACCGAGCTTTTAAAACAGATTATGGAAGAGAATGCTAGGCGAGAAGCTAAGAATATTGAGCTCAAAGCCAGGATTGCCAAATTGGAATAGATCACAGAAGAAAATACTGAGCTTAAAGATAGAATCACGAAATTGGAACAGAAACAGATCCAGATTATTACTAATAAACAGGAAGCATCTCATACAAAAGATATTTCACCACATATCAAGAACTATTCTTATGAGAAGAAAGGTATTACTCCTGATTCTTTGCCTAAAATAGAATATAGCTCAACACAATTTGAATCTTCAATGGAACCTGAAACATTTACGACCTCTTTATTACAAGATATTATCGATAATGATTCAGCCAAGATCCTCAAATTTTTAGAAACAATGCACAAGGAAAGGATTAGTAGTGAGATAAAAGAAAGAAACTAGGAAAAAAAACTTCAAGGATCACATAATAACTCAACTCAATCTGAAATGTCAAACACGTCAACACCTGAATCTTTGGACCTAAAAACTGTGAAAAAGCTTTGGGATCAGAATCAGCATAAAAGCCAGGGCAAAACATCTCAATCGCACAAGAAAAAGGGAACAGAGAATATCACCTAGGTGATAGCTGTTGACATTCAGGATAATGTTATTTCAGATGAGTTGGAGACTCAAAGCTTTGCTTCCTCAAATTATGTGACTGAAATTTTAGTGACAGCCCGTCGTCAAAATTCTGATACAATCTTATTACTCAATTTAGCTCAATTATTTGATAAAGCAAAAAATGCTGAATATTATGCTACAAAAGCTAACCAGGAAGAAACCTTATGCTGGATTAATTATAGAAAAGAATTTGTAATTCAATATAATGATCTTATAAAAAACAGTAATGGCAAAATTGGCGAGAAAAAGGCAAAAAGTATAATTTATGATAAAATATTAGAGCACCTTACTATCATCCATGAAAAGATCCAAGGAAGTGGGATTACAGCTCCCAGAAATCTCACGTAAAACTTTGTGTAGAAAAACCCAAAGGACTATAAAGACTTATAAATTATTCAAAAATAGGCATTGATAAAATTAAGTATCTTAAAGCATACAGTGCAAATTCTATTTCAGAATTGACAAATGATTAAATCTAAAAGATTATTAATAATATTTCTGATTATAATAAGTCTAATATAGAAAATAACATGAGTAGAATTTCGACAACAGCCTGTCGCCAAAATCATGTAGCCGAAATTTTGCATGAGGTAAGTATACCCGCCAAACCTCAAACCTCTAACTCTTCTGTGAAAACTAAGATCTTACTAGAAGTCAAGATGAGTGAAGAAAATATATCTACACTTCAACTCAAGAAGACTTTAACTGAAAAGCAAAATAATCTGACTCATGACTATGCTTGCTTTCATAATAAAATATTGTTGCTATATTCTGATTTATATAAAGAATTTAGTAGTGAAAAATTTGATTATTATAGAATTCTTGAGGGATCATTATGCCCAGTATATAAGAAAAGTCATAAGGAAGGGAAAAGTGTAAAAGGTAGATACGAAGCTAGATTCTATTTTATTATATGTAGAAAGCGTGAAATTGAAATAACAGCATAAACCATACTAGCTCTAATAAGATGATTAAAAGTATTCACTCCTGTCAATTCATATATCTCAAAAGTAGGCAACTACACAAATCTGGACATGAGCCAATAAGTAAACAGTGATATTTTTTTCTTTGACAGTTATGTGATTTTGAATTGACTTGCATTCATATAAATGATAACATGTCTTCTAGCCACTTCGTAACTGGCTCTAAGATTATTCGTCTAAAATGTTAACTAATGACTATTGCAAATAGCATGCTAATTTAGTTGATTTACCAAGTTCTCAGACAGATAAAATTCATTTGAGCTTATGTAGAGCATTTACAGAAGAGACTGAACTCGATCCTTAGATAAAGTCTGAAACTTCTGAATCCTCACAAATCGAAAAGAATATCAAAAAAAAGATATTATTTGTACTATAGATAAATGTTCAGTCTACACTATCCAAACTTTGATCATCAATTTCTATTTTACCTAAAGACCCGGAAGAGAAACAAAAACATGTTATTAAAATAGTATTAGAGCGATTTCCTTATTTAACTTTGAAACATAGTTTTAAATATAGTAA